AAAATATATTAAAATAATATTTTTTTATTTAAAAAAAATTATTTTTAATATCAACACATCAAATAATTTGAAAATACCAAAAAAATATTAATTTAAAAAAATAAAAAAATTAATTTCAAAAAAATACTTTTAAAATAAAAAAACAAACCGACCATAATAAATATGATTAGTGCCAATTGATACTATAAAAAAAAAAGTAAAATTTAATATTAGTGGTTAGTTGATACTGTAAAAAAAAAAAAAAGTAAAATTTAATATGAGTTTGCAAGAGATTAATCTAGTAAGGTAACAAAGATGAAAGGCTAATTTTAATCTTCTTTTATTTATGTGAACAAATTTAATTTTTAATTTTGATAGGAATTGAATCTCTTATTATTATATTTTTGGTTTGGTTATTGTTGTTATTATATGTATAATTTTTGTTTATATATATAAAATTAAATCAAAATTATATGAACAAAAAAACTAAAATAAAATAAAATAAAATTATAAATAGTTGTTTGAAATCAAGTCATATAAGAAATTAAATTCAATTTTATATGTGTTTGAATTCAATTGATAAAACTTTAAAATTTTAAGAATTATAGATACAAGAATATTAATAATCAAATCAAAACTATAATTTTTTTTTTTATCAAAACCCATATAAAAGAATTTCTCAATCAAAATATTCAAGTTTGGTCCACCGTTAATTTGAAATATTTACTAGTATTTACTTATATATATATATATATATATATATATATAGACAAAAAAACAGTAGTAAACTTGAAAATATAATTTAACTAGTTGCTTATTTATACTGTTTTTGTAACACTTCACCTCATTAGTAAGATATTGTTTATTTTGGTAACCTCACAAATTTATTTTTGACAGCCACATATGGCCCCAAAACATGTCTTACTAGTCAAGGTGATCATCATGCTCATATAAAGTCCATCCTCAAGTCCTCGCCGTTCAGTGTAAGATATTACAATTCACTCTCTTATAAGAGTCTGACCACCTTGTCGGCACCACTAGACAGTTAGTGAGTTGGGTTTTGATACGAGTGTAACACCCCACTTCATTGATAAGATATTATTTGTTTTGACTCACGAGTCTCATGGATTTGTTCTTGATAGTTATGCATGGCCGGAAAACGTATTTTTTTATTTAATATGAGTATTATATGTGTTTGAATTCAATTGATAAAAATTTAAAATTTTAAGAATTATAGATACTATTAATAATCAAATCAAAACTATAAAAATTTTTTTTTATCAAAACCCATATAAAAGAGTTTCTCAATCAAAACATTCAAGTTTGGTCCACCGTTAATTTGAAATATTTACTAGTATTTACTTTTTATATATATATATATATATATATATATATATATATA